CGGAAAGGCAGGCGTTGATCGATGAGGCTCGTAGGGTACAGCTTCGTCAGGCGAGCCAGAGTTCCCGCCCCCCCGCACCAGTGCCCACTGGTCCATATCATTTTGAGGGCCAGCCAGGTAGTTCGCGACCCCACGGAGCCCTCCCGTACGGCGAACATGGATTTTATTATCCTGGCCAGGCGGGCAGGACGATGCCCCCGGCACCAGGACCGTACGATCAGCCGGGATGTGCTTTTCCCCGCTACGCAGGGAAGTCGTTATTCCCCCGCGCACGCGTACCATTACCTTATGGTCAGCAGGGGTATGCTGATGATGAGTCGTACGGCGAGAGGGAGCCGGGTCCAGAGGACTATGACTCAGATGACTCTTCAGATGATCAGGACCACGCACAGCCTACGGGTCCTAACCACCCTCGTCCTACTGTACAGCCAGTTTGTCCGGTATAGCCGGTTCTACAGCATGTTCGTTCGGTACATGCTGTTCGTCCCACACAGCCTGCTCCTCGACGGCAGGCTAGGGGGCGTTTTGGCCCATGTGCATCCTCATCAGGTAAATATTTACTTATTTATTGTTGTTTAACATAAATTATTTTCACTTAATCATAACAAATTATCGGTACTGTTAGAAAAGTATTATCGGCCTGCTCCTCAACTACAGTATAATTATTTTGTAATTTAGGGTAAGTTGAATAAATTGTAATTAATTATAAATTCAAAAAATAATATTAATAATTATAAATTATATATGCTTATAATAATAACGTAAAATGTAAAATGTAACGTAACTAATAAAATATGTTTTATTAAATATATTTTATTTAATGCATCTGAGCAAGTCAATATATACAGATATGTTGTATTTTAATGCAGGGACTAGCAAACGAGCTAGGACCGATGATGATGCACCTTGGATCGTTAGAGGCCCAGTGCCCGGTGGGCCCATTGATGGGAGTGTCATCCCTAGCTTTCTTGGGCACGTCGCCTCCCGCATGTGGAGTGGGAATTTGAGGGGGCCGCTGAAATGCCACAACAGACTGCGAGCGATCGACAATCTGAAGGCTTGGCGTGAAGAGATGTCTTCCGATGCGGGAGCTCTTCTCGATCAGACCGGGCTGTCACATTTGGTCGACTCCATGCACACCCACTTGGACACCCCACTCCTTTCTGCTTTTGTGGAGCGATGGCAGCCGGATACTAACTCGTTTCACATGCCTTTTGGTGAGATGAGCATCATGCTGCACGACGTTCGGGCCATTTTGGGCGTTCCAGTGGAGGGTGTCGTGGTCGCTGAGGACCCGGATTCGGACGCCTGCCATGGGCTCTGCATGTCGATACTTTCGATCACTAAGGGCGAACTCATGAGTTCGTTCTGGCAGCGTGGTTCGGTGTCCGAAGCCGCCATTTCGGGGGCATTCAGGGGGAAAGACCGGCTGACTAGGGATGAGGCGGGTGCCTGGCTGTGGGTGATGCTGGCTACCACATTGTTCGTCGACAAGAGTGGTAGTAGAGTGACCCCCAAGCTCCTGCACGAGGTGCTCGACGGCTTGGACTTGATTGGGGGTTACTCATGGGAATCGGCTACGCTGGCATACATGTACAGACAGCTAGGTATTGCCAGCCGAGGGGACTCTGCCCAGATGTCGGGCTGCTTGACTCTTCTACAGTCTTGGATATATGAGTATTTTCCCGATTTCCGACCCCGGGGGCGTCTACCCATCGGTCCTGACTGTCTCGCACGATCACGCTCGTGGAGCGTAGGGAATGCGCCACGGTCAGACGATCGGCTCACAGCCATCCGTCGGCGCCTCGACAGACTCACTGCCTCCGATGTACGTGAATTTATTTTATTTAAATTTAGTTACCCGTTATTTAAAATAACATAATTATTTTTATAAATGCTCTTATGCAATTGTGAACAGGTGCAATGGGTGCCATACGGCAGCTCCAGCCCAGATGCGATAGAGTCGAGGACTCTTTATAGCGGATGGATTCGATACCGCGATGTCGTTGAGCCGTACTTGCCTGCGCGGTGTCTGCGTCAGCTGGGGTATGTCCAGACTGTCCCTCCCCTTATATTCCCGCCAATCAGTGCAGTACGTGCTTGGGAGTCTAGGAACTACAAGGTTGAGCATTCTGAGGCTGGTGCAGTAGGTGCCTGGACCCAGTGCCCGATGTCTGGGACGGTCAACACCGGTATGTTGACCCACACCACACAAGATCGCGAGGAGGCGACTGAGGATTACCAGCAGTGGTACAGTCGGGTTTCCCATCCGACTCTCATGGGCGAGGAGCTGCCGGACGAGAACGAGGTCCCAACGCGTGTCAATACCGCATATGTAAGTTGGTTACTAAATTTTAATTAATGTTAATTCATTACAATAATATTTTTTTTTAATAAATTTTAGTCTTATCTTTTTATTCTTTCATTATTTTAGTGGGTGGACCGTCTTTTGGTCATTACATCGACCTTGCAGCAAATTGTTCCAGACTGTCCGGAGGCGGCGGAAGTCGAAGAACAGCTGGCTAAGTTTAAGTTGGATTACGACAATGCCCAATAATGATGTAATGAATGTTTTTTTTTTAATTATTATTGTAAAACATTAAGTTAAATGATTTTTTTTTTTTTTTTGCTAAACTTAAGTTGAACTGATTCATTTATTTATTTTTATTTGCTAAACTTAAGTTGAATGAGAAGCGTCATACCATAACTGTATAATATTATTCTTTTATTCAAGAACGATTTGTTTGAACAGTATACCAAAATTGCAACCTAGACTGGTACTGATGCTCCCAACCCACAACCGATTGATCTCGATAACGGAACCACATGTTATGAATAGGCGGTAATGGACAATCATCAGTCAAATCTAAATGAATGTAGTGTTCTATGGTACCAAGATGGCAAATGGCAATCTCACGACATGGTCCTCTAGCCGATGATCGTGCAGTGAGAGGCAACACTGTGGTGCTGAATAAGTCGTGCTGTCCACCTTGTGGACCAGAGCTCAAATGAACGACAACCACATTAAATAGGGTCGCAACGGCATAGAGGTCCTGCGGAACTTCGAACCAGTGAGTCGGTCCACAAGGGCCTCTGGCCCACCTTACGTGACGGAGTCCGGCCTCGATATCTCTAAAATAGATGTACTCGTACAATTCAGGGTGGTTGTCGACCTCCTTCGCAATGTTTTCTCTTGCATCTGCCCAGTACTTCTGATGACCATACATGTGACTCGCGATGACCCGAAATCCGCAGTTACCATCCGCATCCACATTCAGGTAACTCACTATGTAGTCC